ACCATTGTTCCAAGTTTTCTCCATTTGTGGATAATGGCTCTGACCATGGTTTGCTGGAGTCCCAAAGCCTTAGAAATGGCTTTATAACCCTTTCCAGACTGATACATGTCAACTGTTTTGATTCTCATCTGTTCTTGAATTTCTTTAGATCGTGGCATGATGTGTTGCTCTTTAAGCATGCTTCACTTTGTCAGACAGCTTCTATTTAAGTGATTTCTTGATTCAACAGGTCTGGCAGTAATCAGGCCTGGGTGTGGCTTGTGAAATTTAACTCAGCTTTCTAAAATAATGTGGTTAATTGCAGTTCTTTCATGATTTAACAGGAGGGGGCAATTCATTTTTCACGTAGGGCCACGTAGGTTTGGACAGCTTTTTTCCCTTAATAAATGAAATCATCATTTAAAAGCTGCATTTTGTATTTACTTGCATTATCTTTGTGTAATATTAAAATTAGTTTGATGATCTGAATCTTTTAAGTGTGACAAATATGAAAAAAAATGTAAAACAGGAAGGGGGCAAAAACCTTTTCACAGCACTGTATTATTAAAGGTTATACTGTGGCTTTGTAAAATTCTTGATTTTTAGATTTTTTTCTAAATTTTATTTCTGTTATTTTAACGCTCTATGCAGCCTACCACAACAAAAGAATCAAAAGGACCCCGATCAAGCAAATAAATATGACAAACATGATATAAATGACCAATTACTTTTTTTTTTTAAATGAAATTACTTTTTATTGTTTATAAAAAACAAAATCTTTCTCATACTCTCTCCACAATGCACACAAATGTACCCACAGATTCGTTCACAGAAACTTATCAGCGCTTCCCATGCTATTTCTACAAATAAATAGTTTCGCTACTGAAAGATGGCATGACATTTCTCAGAATAGGTCCAGATGGCATAGATAGATAGATGAGTAGTTGAGCTATCTGTCTATGGGATCTGGCCCTGAGCCCTGACTCTGATGTAATATTTGCATTAAAAGCAGTCTGAGGTTGGCTGTATGTTGAGAATTCTGAAGGGCTGAATAACGACCCAACCAATCATTAAAATACCACCAGAGAATTGCTGCATTTTTCTAGTTTTATTAGCTTTTTTTGTCGTGGAAAAGCATAGGCTCACAAGCACACAAGGGGATTGGGAGCGGTGAGGAAATGTGAGTTTAAACATTGTGCAAATGTTAGAATTCACATTAGTTGACTACATCTTTACATCTATGGCAAAACAGCGGTAGCCAACCCTGCTCCTGGAGGGCTGCCATCCTGCAGAGTTTAGCTCCAACCTCCAACACACCAAATCCAGGTAAAATCTCCAGATTTGCTTGAGATCTACAGGCATGTGTGTTTAATTAGGATTGGAGCTGAACTCTGCAGGACAGTAGACCTGAGGCCAGAGCTGATCAGCCTTGAGGTGGAAGACGAGACAGTTTAGTAGTGTGAAAATACGAGATATTTAGATGCCTCAATCTTAAGACATTTAGACATGTATGGAGTATATTTTGCATATAACTTTTTTTCATCAAATGCAAGACAGAAATATTGATGATTTTGGCTTTTTTTTATACCTCAATAGTTTATTCTGAGATACACTATCTATCTGTCAGTCTGTCTATCTGTCTGTCTGCCTATTTGTGGAGCTATAGACATAGCATCAAAGTTTTAAAACTTTTATAAAAATCTTGCCCACCCAGCATATCTGCCAGCCTTCTGTAGCTGGCAAGAATCAGGCCTTCTCAGAAGTGAAGTGGTAACTGCCGTTTTTGAAGTAGTCGAATGGCTTCACTATTAGTAATCCTGTAAATGAATGGCTTCACTATTAGTAATGCTGTAAATCTACACACATTCACTTAATTCACATGTTTAATCTCTCTCTCTCTATCTCTCATATTTAACTGCATGTCAGTAGCTCTACCAACCATTATAGTTCTAAAATGATGTTTTGGAATTAGCAACAGTAGATTGAGGTGAGATGCATAAGAAACTAGTTCTAGTTCAGTTCTTCACCAAAGCATTTTGAGGCCCCAAAAATACAACAACAACAAAAATCTGTGCTTTAAAAGCTCCGTTTTTAATGCCATTTTTGACATCTTTGTTTTTCTAATCAGTTTTGAAGATTTCACTCTTTGCCTAATCAAGTAGGCAAGATATGAACCATACTTGCTCATGTGAAATTACTTGGAGACTGTATGTGTCCAACATCTAATACTGTAATCATACTCTACAGTATGTGGTTGTGAGGACACTTCGAATGATTGATGCTTACCATGTGATACTTTTATTGAAATAATATATTCAAGAATAAATTTTTTTTCCTTTTTTATTCAATCC